CATAGGCTCCATAGAGATATTTTATACTACTAAATGATGTTCTTTGACCATGTTTGTCTCCATATCAATCCATTTTCTTTCTGCCACCCTCGAATGACTATTGTAACCTCACCTCTGCATCCTCTTCATATGTTTTATGGATAAGGTTCTTGCTACCTTTTATCCTGTTTGTGGCTCTTGCTGTGCTTCGAGTCTGCCCACTTACTGTTGGTGCTCTGGTGTTCCTGTTCTCTTCAGTCTTTACACAAGACTAAGTAGCTTCTCAATTGGATGGTTTTAAAACACACACAATGCCATGGAATCCCCTGTTCTCCATGATCAAAGGGACAGTGAAGGGACCCTAGCCAGCATGGCAGACACGGCTCTGGCAGGCCTGCTCCTCTCTCACATTCCCTCTGCCTTGCTAAAAGGTATTAGCTTACATTCCTAAAGCTACCACCAAGACGTATTCCCTTATATGGCAAATTCCTCCTCCTGAGGCTCACTATGACGGTCCATCTATCAAAGTATTGAAGCCCAGCAATCCAAAACCCACTTTGGTTCATCTAATTAACATACCCAATCAAAATTAAACATCTCGTTCTAATACAGGGATTCCCATTTTACACTTATTAGCTGCCACTTGCCTATGGGCCACACCAGTCTCCTCTCTATCCAGAGACTGTCTTTTGTTGTCCCCTACCCCGATAAGTGCCCCTTTCTCCCCTCTTCCTTGTTCTCCCCTCCTCCGTCATACTCACTCCTGTCTTTGTTCTGTATGGACTTCATGTCCTGTATATGCCTTCTGTTCCTCTGGGGCAGATGAATCTCCTTTGTGCTGAGAACTTGGTCTTGAGTTGACTCTGAGGTTCCCTACGGATGGGCTTACCCTGTGTTCATCAAGGCTTCATGGATGGACCTGATGGAGTAGTGAGCGAATGAAGGAAAGACAGATGGATGGACAGACACATACAGAAAGCTTTGACCAGGTCGGCTGGCATGGGTTTTTCTGTTGGAGAAACTACACCACCTCCTTAATTCTCCACAAGCTCAGTGGATTCATTATGTACCACTGAACAGGGAGGTGGAGTCAGTGAGTACAGATAACAAAGGAAGTGGTGCTATTGCATCTAGACAAACAGATAAGTAGATTTTATATGCATACAGCTGGATCAAAGGGACAGGTTTAGCCCATCTTGGTGCAAGCAGTTTCTCTAGGGAAGCAGTCTTCAGGCCATTAATATCCTTTGGCGGGGTGGGGGGTGGGGGATTCTAATAAAGTTGTGGAACATTTTTTGCACACACTTGCCATCCATAGGAGCCCGAGACTGTGGGGGTCTTTGACGTGGCTGCGCCCACATCAGCAGCACACACATCCCTCAGGACTTCACTGACGTCACTGCAGGGTTCCACACTCCCTACACTCTTAGATTTACTGTCTCGTTGGCCTCATTATTAATAGTAAAAGAGTGTCTCTATCTCGTGTGTGGCTGTTTTCCTATTTACTATTCAGGGTAATATGATGGAGGGGTTGTTACTAAAGCCAGGGTATTGAGTGCTGGGTCTTGGTTTGTGAATTTATTGCAGTTGCTACTGACCTTTCCTCTTGGTGATAGAGCTGTGCATCCTGGATACCTTACCAGTGAAATGTTGTCTTCACCTATTGACACGTGTCCATCTTAATGCAGCAGGACTTCCAGAGTCTGTTCTCACTGACTGAAAAGAGAGTAAATGTTGTTTTCATCATGCATTTGTTATTGGGGATCTCTAAGCTTCCTGCGTTGCTTGTCTTGTTCAAGGTCACATTTTCAGTGCATACCATGCAGATTCGTGCAAAAGTAATTAAACTAGTAACTCATTATCTTTTAAATGTTCGTTTCTTTTTGCTTGAATATTAGAGAGGCCTTTTTATTAAAAATAAAGTGCCCAAGGAAGGTGTCAATTGTTACTCCCTGAATGTATTCAAGCAATCTGGATGACCGTTTTGTTTTTATGGGAATATCATAGATGGAACTGTAATGTCGTTACTTGGATAGATTCCTATGAAAATACATTACAACACAGAGATTCACATCTATTTCCCCAGTATGAAGTTTTCATGGTATTGCAATAAAAAGCATGACCACATGATAGGAACTGTAAATCATGAAGGAGACATGAGGGTTGTTTACCCCTTGTCTAGAACCACACAGTAGACATACTTCATCATGCTTAATTTAATTCTGTTAACAATTGTATGAGATTTGCAATCATATTGTCCCCTTTTAATAGGGAAGGAGATGGGAGCTGAGAGGAATTTTTAACTCTCCCATTGCCACAGTTAGTACACTAGAAAGAGATTTAAGACTCTGTGGTCTAAGTTTCTGAATCCTTCTGCCTCGCCATTGGCCAGTTATCATTAAAAACATGCAGACTACCATGACTAGGGTCAATGTGGCTTTTGTAGGGGATGCCAGTCAATGTACATTTCCCCTCCTGTTTGCGACTCTCTAATATCTGAGGGAACCTCTGGAAGTAGGTGTGGGACATAGCTTTCCACTGGGATGCTCCGTGTCACCTACCTCAGTGTCCGTGTCCACGTCCAACCACCACATTTCTTCTTATATTTGACTGACTTTGACAGCCCCTTCCTACCAGTGTAGTCAGCTTCTCTATGAGTGAGTCATTCTCTATGGATTTGAAAGAAAGCATAGAGGGCTATATTAGAGGCTTTGAAGGGAGGAAAGGGAAGAGAGAAATTACATAATTATATAATAACCTCAAAAATAAAATAAAAAAATGATTTTAAAATGTGTTTGATTTGCTCTTCATTTCCAAAGCTGGCTTAAGGTAGACTTTTTGAAGTTATTGACCAATAAAATGTTAGCATTGCCAAGTGTTTCCAGTGTTGGGTAACCTACTTTATATGAATGCAGGACTTCTGAAAGAGAAGTCTCTTAACTGCTAAGCCATCTCTCTAGCCCTGCTTTTCTATTCTTAAAGAACTGATTAGTTGAAATGATAAGGGTATAAGTATTTGTTATTACACGAGAAGAGAAATTGTATTCTTGTAAGATTATCATCTGATGTTTTTCCTCCTCTTCTTCCTTTTTCTTACCACATTTTCATTTTTTATTTTCTCTTTGAAATTTTTTATGTTATACAATACAGTGATCACATCCACCTCCCACCCACGTCACTCTCAGTCAGCCCACAAGACTCTCCATCACATCTCCCTCCAAACTTCCTCCTGTTTTATTTACTTATTTCCTTTTACCCAGAGTCCAATTAGTGCTTCCATATGCGCATGGTGTGGGATAGACATCAAATCCCCAGTAGTTCCCCAGCTAGGTGTGAGGTCTCAGGAGGCACTGCTGCCATGCTGGAATTCTTTAAATTTAAAATTTAATTTCAATCACTTTCCTCTTTTTTCCTCCCTCTAACCCTTCCTTAATGTCTTCTTTTTCTTTAATTAATAAATACACACACACATACACACACCCCTTATGAATCCATTTTTATTGCTTGTGTATTTATTGCTCCATATGATTACTTGCATGCATATGATTTGGGGACAGATTCATCACTTTGTATTGAATAACCAGTTAGGGAACACATCATTAGAAGAGGTAAATTCTATCTCTCAGCAGTCACTAGCTGCCTATAGTCCTTTGCCTAGGCTGAGACACCGTGAGATTTCTTCCATCTAAGTCACATTATGAAATTTCACACTAGCTTGATCTTGCACAGATCTTGTGTGAAGAAATAACATTTACTGTGAGTTCATGTGTGCACAGCCATGTCATGGCTCAGAGACAGACTTTCACAGCAGTCCTCCTCCTACTCTAGGTCTCACATTCTTTCTGCCCGCTCCTCTGGGATTCTCCCCGAGCCTCGGATGGGGATAGTATAGTTGTCTTAGCTATGGCTGAGCACTCCCAGTCATAATTTCCAGCACATGTCTCCTCATTCATCACTCACTATCATCAGGAAGAAGCCTCTCTGACAAAGGCTGAGACAACCCAAGCCTGTGAATGCAAACAGAAATACTTAGAAGGTAGTTTGACAACATGAACAGTTAGTAAACCAACATGAATAGGTTCCCATGACCTATAAGTTCCACAGTCTAGTCTTCTTACCATGTTAATGGCACCAAGCATGACTTATCTCTTGTGGCAAAGCCTCAAGTCCAATCAAGAGAGCAGCTGGATCCTCCCACCCACAGCCCTGTCTCCAGCACTCAGTGGGTACATCATGCCTGATGCTGAGCACTGCAGCAGTCAGAGTCCAGCACTGGATCATGTGGTTGATGTCCTCTTCCTCAGCAGACTGTGTATACCTTCTTGTACTGTGCAATCCAGCCAGTGCAGAGATTTTCTATTCAAAATTGGTCTCTGTGTTCTGAAACCAAAACATTATGTAGTGTCTTCAGCAATAAGGCCTTACTATCCCCTTATGGTGGACATCCAAAAGCAATGGCATACCTCTTGTTGTTTTGGACATCATGGGCTTTCCCTGACCAAGAACTCATGGATGATAACTGGTACTCCTCATGGAGACTTTCACTCAACAACTCATGTCTTCTGGGAGCAACGCTGATCACTAATGTGGGGGTAGTTCAGTTTGTAAGCACATACATTCATGTATGCATAACTCACATACATATTTATTACATATATAAATAACATTACATATATACTCGATTACAAGTATATACAAGTATATACTGAGTTTTCATAAACCTTCTTACTGTAGCCTTAGTTTTAGTCAACAGACTCCTTCCTTCCTCCTCCTTCTCCTCCTTCCTCCAACCCCTTTTTCCCATCCCCACTTAAACCTTAGCTCCCAGTGTTCTCACCCTGTCCCTTCATATTGCTTATGTTCTAGTGTCGCCTGCTGTTATACGTTTTACTTGGAAGTCTGGTCGTACTTTGTAGGGGGCATAGAAGCTGTAGGTCTTCTCCATCTCTCTGAGAAGAGGCCACCATAGCCATCATCGAACTGTCCCTCTGACGTGTCCCATGTGCCTCTTCTCTATGAAGGTACCTGGAACTGGAAAGCAGTGGCCATCGGAATGAGATCAGACTACATTACCGCTCTGGCGCTCACCGCCCTCACACGGAAGTGTTTCCTTATATTTTGGCTGATGCCAAGTGGCACAAGCTCTCCTTAGCCTTCAGTGCCTCCCACTTAATTTTACACGTCGACTGCAATAAGTAAGTATCATTCTCGCTTCAAGAATTAGAAGAGTCTTGACATGTCTAGGAGATTGCTGTGTGTTCACAGCCTCTCTCTGCTGTCTCGTCTTTCAGGATCTATGAACGAGTGGTGGAAATGCCTTCTACAGATTTGCCTCTGGGCACCACATTTTGGTTGGGACAGAGAAATAACGCACATGGATATTTTAAGGTATCTCTTGGCTGGAGTCTGAGCATGAAGTAGAAATGGGAAAACTTTCTAATGAGTTTGCAAAAATACATTTCACTCTTTATGGCATGAGACAAAAATTCAATTGGTGTGTTTTTTTTGTATGTATTTCTATTTACTTTCTGTTCGGGTTTCTTTGGTCATTGTTTTAAACTGGTAAAAGGTCACTACTCATTTGTATTTGATTCTTCTATATTGCAGAGATGACCATCAGGTTACAATTAGTGATCAATATGACATTCCTGAAATTAAATATCAACATAGAAATAACTTTCTACCATGAAAATATCACCTTTGATAATGCTTTTGCAGAGACATTAATAACCTTTAAGTTAGAAGCATTATGCATGGCTTCCTCATGGACCAATCCCTGAAAATAGGAAGTGGTCAAAATGTATTTCTAGTGAAAACTTAGAAGCACACAGACCCTCTTCCCTGTAGAGTATCAAAAGGTGTCCCAACTGAAGGTCTGCAAGTCTTGAGGACAAATCGGTAACAGCCAGAGGAATGCTTACCCACTGCCTGTTGTGTGAATATTTCCCTAGAGCTGTGATGGTTAAATTAGAGAATGATGAGAGGTATGCCCAATCTGTGGACTTCAAGAGTGAGGAGGCATTAGTCAACTCAAAAAATTCTAAGCCAAGTATGTAATGTGTTCCATAATATTACCTGTTCTTTCGAAACCAGATGGCTTCACTCTATTATCCAATTTAATCTCTTACTCTGAAAATGTTGATGAGGGTCCTTTTCCTTCTTATAAACCTGCATCAACCTACCCAGTGAGGTAAAATAACATGCCAGGCAGCCACCAGGTGACAGATGTGTGGAATTGATTCTTTTCTTTAAAATCCTAAAAATCAATGCCCTTTTCCCATGCAAGGGATGACAGGTGCATGCTGTGAGCTGCAAACCTCTCTTCTATTTACTGATGGCCGTCTTAGAGCTCAGATGTGGTCTCACAGTCCCCACACATCAATTATGTGTGTAGCTATATGCTTTGTCACTCTCATTGTGGTCTGAGGACATTGTCCACTAGATGTGTGCAGTGCCTCACCTGCATACTATATTTACCAGACTGGTCTCCATGTTCCTTCCGCAAAGCCATAAGACTTTTCACCCAAGCTACTCTTGGATTCCAGAATCAAGAACAGATTTTAGTACTCGCCAGGCTGTGTACTAACAAAGTTACCACTCACATCGACAAACGCTGTTAGTCACAGTAAATGGGTAAACACAGATCACTATTTGGGTGGTAGATCTTTGTAGGGATATTATTCTCTTGATGACATATTGGTACAGGTACCCCCATCACTAGGCTTTCTGATTTGCATTTTCCAAGGCGATATAGTTAAATATAACACAAAGTACATGAAACGGGTAAGAGAAGAAGTGACAGGAAAGAGGGAAGGTTGGGATCTGTGAGATGTTGTTGTTTCTACTACCACTGGCTTTGCTTTGAGTCCAGCAAGCCAGCAGCGTGATGGCTAAGAATGCATTTAAAGCAAAGCCTTCTGTGCAAAGTGGGTCATTTGTGTCTGGCATTTAAATAGCCGTGTATCTAAATTTTCTGTGCTTCTGAGCACTCTAAATCTAAGACTTGCTACACCTGCTTACTAAATCCTCAGTCCTTTCTAAATTGAGAGATCGACTTTAAAAAACTACCAGTGGAAAAAAATGAGAAATGTTCAAGTGGCCATTGCTTTCATGACTCAGTTTACCCACCTTTTTTCCTTTTGATCACTGTTAGTACAAAACTGGTCTCATGTCTGTGGTGATAAAGCCCACAGTGATTTTTGTGTCAGTGCTTAAAGGTCGCTTTCAAGCCTCGCTTCTGTGGTGAACTAAAAATAACTCCTCAAAACAATAAGACGATAGCCACATCCTTGAATCTTGACATTTAGTCTTCCAGCTTTAAGAGCATTGCCAAGGAGAAAACACCCAGGTAATTCTGTTTTGCTTGGTGACTCTCTTTCCCTGGCACGGACTGGTTATGAACGGACCCTGGAAGGTTCTAGACCCAGGGTTAGGGTAGATCTATTCCTTAACATTTTTCCTCAGGAAATTGACTACTGAGCATACTTTAGGTAAATGGAAATAACACTTCTTTCCTGTTTTCATATACAGGGAATAATGCAAGATGTGCAATTGCTTGTCATGCCCCAGGGGTTCATCGCTCAGTGCCCGGATCTTAATCGAAGTAAGTCTGTGTGTCCTGCACTGTATGCTGTGATGAGACAGACATGTGCCCGAGCTTTGTTTCGTCCAGAATGTCAGTGTGAGATTGGAGCTCCCCGGCGGTAGCTGTCAGCACAGACTTAATCAGGTAGAGGCCCTTATAAATACAGTCTGATCAATGTGCCGTTTGTAATTGCAGCCTGTCCAACATGCAACGACTTCCATGGACTTGTGCAGAAAATCATGGAGCTGCAGGACATTTTATCGAAGACATCAGCCAAGGTAAACATGACTCACAAATACACTGAGAACGAGCCACAGTCACGTGACTCCCCAAAGTTCCTTTATCACCATAGATCTTCATGCTGGAGACATTCCTTAAAGTAGATCTGCGATTTCCTGGTTCTGAATTGGAATCCTTGCTCAAGGAAGAAGGTTATAATGTTTATTAAGGTGTATAAATATTTAAACCCTAGCCATTTGTATAACGAATGGCTCAGTAAATCAGGAAGGGAGCAGATTACCTGGGTACACGCTGCTTTACTGCCGCAAGATCTATTGTTGCCTAGTTTTAATTATTTATTTGTATTTAGCTTTCATTGCAAATAGGGAGGCAGAAAGACACTGTAAAGTACGTGGACACCATAATTTGGCCAAGCAAAAGGCTCCAGAACAGTTTTTAACTGTTATGCTATAGCTGTAGATTCATTCCCTAGAGGTCTGAGGGATATAACATGTTTACTGACAAGTTCAGCAGATTTTAAAGTTTGCATAGTATTGAAGGATTTTCTAAAAGCCATGTGTATACAGTTTGTTATTTATATTATGTAAATCCTAAATATTATTTTTTTTTACTTGAGTAAACATATTAATGGAATTAGATGCTTTTTTAAAATAAAAAAATTCTTACCTGTATTGTGAATGGTGTTATTCTCAATTAGCCTCAATTTGTGTCTTATAAATTGTGATTTTTGTTTTAAAGGTAAACTTTTCACATGTAAAGGGTCGGGAAAGGCATCTTTTAAATTTTACAGGCTCAATAGATTTATAATTGACGATGACTTAAATATTTATAATAATTGGTGATGGGCACAGCCCATTGTTATTGCCGTCTACATAGTGATATCCGATGCTTGCTAGAGTGGCATACGTTTCCAGTGGCTGTAATGGTGAGTCACCCCGTCTTTGTGCCATAGCTGTCTAGAGCTGAACAACGAATGAACAGGCTGGACCAGTGCTATTGTGAGCGGACATGCACCATGAAGGGAACCACCTACCGAGAGTTTGAGTCCTGGACAGATGGCTGTAAGAACTGCACATGCCTGGTATGTCATGGGGGACTCGGGTGGCCCCACTGGTTAAATATTTATTAAGACAATGTAATCATGAAAATTTCAAGACCTATTTTCTCGAAATGCAACACTAAAATGCAAGCAAACCTGGTCACTTCTGAAGAACCGTGTGTTACATTATTAAAGACACTCTCTTGGTGTGAGCATGTGAATATCATCTGCGGATACATGAAGTTAGCAATTCAAATGAGCTTAGCAAAGCCAAGTCCCAAGGGAGTCTGTCCTATAACCCGCAGTGTTTCTGGGGAATTCTCCCCCTTGTGTTTATTAATGAATTATAAAGAAACCGAGTTATATAGAGCATTAAATATTGTGTCTAGACAGAATAATATAAATAATGGATTTTAAATAGTCTTTAATAGTTGGCTAACATAGAATACAAACTACACTGGTTAAATAAATGTGACTTTTCTTAATTCTTAGTAATAAATTATTTTTAGTGCATTATTATTTCATATCCATGCTTCAAAGAAAGCTTCAAGTCAAGTCTGGTTTTAAATTTTCAGATTCCACATGAACTCATCTGTTATAAAGCTAGAATTCTGTAAAGAGGTCATAGATCCATTTAAGTTACCATTTGGAAAGCTTCCCCCATGCTCATCCAGCTGATTCAAAAGCAGAATATCACACACATAAAAAGTATCCAAAGTGATCGGTATGTTAATGTATCTCTGTGTGTGTTTGTATAAGAGAGAGAGAGGGAGAGGAACAGGGAGAGGGGGAAGGGGAGGGGGAGGGGAGGGAGAGGGAGAGAGAGAGAGACAGAGAGAGAGAGAGAGACAGAGACAGAGAGAGACAGAGAGAGACAGAGAGACAGAGAGAGGGCAAGGGAGAGCACCCGAGCATGTCATCTGTGTGGGTGTGTGTGTATTTTTTGTGTACCCCTGTGCACATGCACATGTGAGTGTGCATCTGTGTAGATGTATGTGAACATATATACACGTGCATCTGCGTGGGAGTCTGTTCATACATAGTTTGCGTGTATGCATACACATATGTACATCTCTGTGTAATATGGGTTTTTACTCAAGATTACAATATAATACAGTTTTAAAGTTTTACAGTTTTAGTGAAACCTTCCCAAATGAGGACCAGAAATCTACCTAAGCCAAACGCTGGGTGTGATTTGGTAAGGTTTTTACACTTACTAGGAAAGTCAGAGCAGCCAAATGCGTGGTTGGAGTGTGAGCAACCGGGAGATAGCGAGGTGTTCGAGGCCAGCTTTCCGCTTGCCATTTTCCTGTGAGCTTGTGGCCTCAGCTCCACTTTAGAAGGTGCAGATTTGCTTGCTACAGATCAGTTGCTGGGTAGAAATAGGAACCAGCCTCAATTGTTACAATGTAGCCCGCATTACTGTGAGTCACCACACTGTGGGCATTGCTAAAGAGAATAGTGACATTTTATGTAAGAGCTGGAAATCTATGGAATGAATTTAAAAGCCTTTGTGGAGCATTGAATTTCTGTGTGGCATTTCTTTAAATGCTGTTTGCTTTTCAGAATGGGACCATCCAGTGTGAGACCCTGGCCTGCCCTGCTCCTGACTGCCCTCCCAAATCGGCTCCCGCCTACGTGGATGGCAAGTGCTGCAAGGAGTGCAAATGTGAGCAGACCTTTGCTGATCAATACTACAGAAAAATACGGCTTCATATTAAAACTATTGTGTTGCTCTCTTTAAGCTAGACAAGTTAAACTACTTCCAGAGATGATATATCTTCTATTTGAGCGATCATTTTTACCTGTTTGCACTCTAGAAGGATCCTTAATTTTTCCTGGAAGACCCTTGCATATATCGATAGAAGTAGAGAACAGACAAGACACTCTTTGGGGAGGGCATCCTGCCGGTTACAGCTTAATACAAATTCTTACCAAGTGGATAAAGATTGCCTGCTCACGTTCTTGTACCAGGGAAGTCTGTGACTCAAGTTACTTTGGGCATCGGGTGAAATATGGCTCTTTTACCTATGACAGTAGAACCCACTTACATAGTATCACTCGGCTCTGATTTTAATAAAAAACAACCAGCAAAAACGCTTGCTCTGCCATGTGAGAAGGCTTTGCTGCCCTTTCTCACACAGTATATGAAGTTCATTTCTGATGTCTAGAAACACTTTCAGAATCTTCTGTAGCCTCTGATGTTCTAGATCATCTTAGTCACAGAAATCAAGCCGTCTACACGACTTACTTCTGAAAAGACTTGATCTTAAGTCCCGGCTAAAAAGAGCACTTGTGATAGTGTTCCGGTTTTTTGTTCAAAGGAGTTTATACACTAAGCATCTATGAACAGTGGCTTGTTATCTAATGAATAGGCTATACGGAGCTGTGGAAGCACAAGTATGTGTGGTGCGAGACTCCTAAAGATGGAATGAGGGTTGACAGAGAAAGGGAAAGTAGGTGCGTAGCAGGTAGGAAAGCACGGCATGAGGAAGGCGTGGCGTGAGGAAAGGCGTGGCGTAAGGGAAGGTGTGGCCTAAGGGAAGGCGTGGCGTGAGGAAAGGCGTGGCGTGAGGGAAGGCATGGCAGCTGTTGTGGTTCCGGATTTCCAGATCTCCCTAGCCATTGTAACTAACTCAGTTCTACACCATGTGCACACACTCCTACATACCAGCAAGAAAACGTCAGCAAGTGAGAGTTGCCTTGCATACACCACTGTGCTGATAGCTTCTTGAGCTCATTTCTGGCATGTGTACTGGTCTAGCTAAGTAGGTTCAGAGGAGCCAGCGAGGTTTGAGTACCTCATTTTAGCATCTTAATATAAACTACATTCATAACATTCATCATATAACAGGAAATATAAAATAAAAAGGAAAGTAGATATTATTCTCCTTCGCCCTCTTAGAGTTTAGTTCTTGTGTGCTTTGCCAAATAATTTTTCTCACGCCCACTGACATACGATGGTGCAGGCTTTCTCTATTCTATGCAGAGTGGTGTCACTCATTTCCCTGGCTCTCATTATTAATGAGACATTAATGGCATGACATTCCCATACCAGTCAGACATTGCTGCATATTCAAACACTGTAGGGTTTGCTGTGGTCCTGTTTCTCCCCTCTCAAAGTCTATGAGGTGCTCCCCCCTCCCTTATGTGCAGTAATATGATGTCATTCATGCAGAAATTTGGTGCATTTCTTAGAGCTTTGGGTATAGAGCATATTAAGGGTGGAGTTGCTGGGTCAAGGCCTATAGTAATTTTTATTATAAGGCCAGCTCACTCTACAAAAATATGGACCCACTTGTTTTCTTCCATTAGTGAGGGAGCCCTGCTAAGAGGCAGCTGGGGGATCTGAGAACAAAGCTTTTCTGTTTCACTGGGTCTTTGAAAGGCCACTGGTTGGGAGGCACTGCTGGGCCTCCTAGTAACTCTACAAGACAATACTGGTTCATGGGACATCTTTTCAGAAAGGGGAACCTAAGAAGCCCAAACATTTCACTTTAGGCATACAATGCTCTCCAGTAGAATTGTTGGTAAAATGAATTGCAATTTCCCATCTTCAGTAAGTGCTGTTGATGGTGTGTGAGTATCCCGAATTCATGTTTTTTGAAATGAAAGTAGGTTTGCAGAAGACAGAACGTAGGATGCTGCCCTTCAGTTCAGGGCACTATGCTGCACCTGCTTAATCACACTTTATTTTAAAATAAGAGAGAGCACTCAGCTTCCAGCTCTTCAGTCTGAACTGCAATTTCTCTTCATTATTAAAATCCTTGAATAAATGTATTTTGTGGGTTTTATTATTTTTCATGCCCCATTACATTTTCTCAAAAGAGTTTCTCTGTCCATGTAATGACATTGCTTAAATGGGCTAAAACTCTTCTGAAGAAAGCTTTATGTAGATGTCTATAATAATAATTAAATCAAACTGTTTAGTATGGTACTAAAGGAAAAATGGGATATTTTTTTTAGCTGATCAGAAGGCTAGTCTCCTTAGCAGTGTGATACTTTGAAACAAGTGAGAGGATTTGAAATTTGTACCAAACAGAAGAGCAATAATCTACACATCATTCATACCAGATGCAATTTAAGATGGAAGGAAAACACTTAAGCAGAAAGTGCAGTTTCTTGTCTGCAGTGCTGTTAGGTAATTGTTTTAAAAATGAGCTTATTTCATTCTCAATAAAGATTTTGCAAAATGCCATTTTGAAATCAGAATAGGAAAAAATAAGACGTATGCAATTTTAAGCATCTTAAGAGGTTGATTTGGACAATCATGTGCAAAATAGTATGTTAGGGTCACATAATAAAGGTAAGCGGACATCAAAGTACACTGCAGACAGAAGCCACGGCTCCTCTATCCCTAGTCGCAAGAGCCAGACAACCAGGTGTATGTATGAGGCTCTGGTTTTCCATACACATCTACACAGTATGTGAAATAGTTACAGATCGAGAGTTAAATGGGTCTGGCCTAAGGGTTGGGCAGAAAGGAATTCTCTTTTTCCATTTCGACGCCGGTTCTCATGGAGTAAAGTTTAAGAACATCCTTTATGCAAAATCTGTCTCCAAGTTAAAAAACATTCCCTATAAAATATAGGCAAAGAAAGTTCTTTAAAATATCATTGCTGGACACGATGTCCCTAGCTCTGGAGCCTTAGCTAGGAAAAGCTGTTGATCAAATTGGCAGATGTAGCTCTGTCCCCAGCCCTGGTGAGTACCCACCTATACAAAGTACATATTAGATGAGGCTTTGCTTCTACACAATACCATTCCCTTTCACTGGCCCCCGGTTTGTGTTAGAAACCAGCATATATTATTTCTGGACAGAGGAATAAAGCGATGATACGTTTTGAGGATCTGAGGCCCAGACCTTGCGATTTGGGGTTGCTTCATATTTCAGATGCATCCTATATAGTAAGTGACTTTTGTACTTCACTCCTGCCCTCATTTGTAAACATGCTTTTAGTTTGGAAATAAATGTCTTTCAGATACATCAGTGGACTTAACAACTTGGTACCCATACTTTTAAGCTCATGGAAGATGACGGACACTATACAGCTAACTTACTTGTAACTTTTAACTGCAGGCAGGTGACATTGACGGTTAATAGCACTGATGGTTTTTGCAGAGAACTGAGTCCTTAATCAGATAAGTTATAAAGCCTATACACAGGAGCCACCACTGACCTCAGTGCTTCTCAGATTTTAATGAGAGTATAAACCAGTTTGGGATCTCATTAAAATGAAATCCTGATTCAGGGTCTGGAATGGAACCTTGGAGTGCCCATTGCCGACACACTCTCAGGTGACCTAACGTTGCTCCAGTTAGCAAAGAATTAGCTAGTGAGTTTCATAATCTAGATTTATTAGCATATTTCATGTCCTAAAGCAATGTTCCAGCACTCCTGCTTGTCTGATACCTCACAGTATGCGCCACCCCCACAGTTTTAATCTCAAGTATGTATTAAGACCTCCAAATACATGTTTTAGGATTTGTATTTTAAGCCAACATATAAAAAATGGTTCTGAGTCTGGGAAGTTATGAATCATCCATTGCTTTTTGTAATGATACTACTTGTTAGAGATCAGAATTGGAAGCTCACTCGCTCGCTCAAGAAAAACAGCAGCGTTACAGGCTCACAGGTGTGTATATATGGTCACCATCATATGTTCAGAGGAGGTGTGCCTGCATACGACTCTTACTCAGCCATTTATTTATTTATTTATTTATTTATTTCCACACAATTACTGCTCTGATGCACCAAATATTTCACTAGTGGAATAGGAAGTCAGTGTAAGCCAAGAGCTGAGTTTCTGGTTCTCTGGAAACAGAAATGATTCAGTCATAGTCCAAACACCTTCTACCTTCAAAGCTCACACAGAGTTTAATCTCCAATGTAAAGTAATAAGATCATAGCGGCTGACCTGACCGGGGGGTTTAGCGGTGGGGCCTTGGGGAAACGATAAGAATTGGGTAAGTCCATCAATGTAAACTCCGTGACTTAACAGCGATGACGTTGTAAGACAAGAGGTCAGAAGACGCACTCATGTGGTCACAGACTCTTGCCATGTGACACCCAACAGCACCTCGAGACTTCTCCACAATGCAGGCTTATCTGTGTAGCTCTTCATCTTGAGGTCGTGGACTATGACCTACAAAAGAATCTCTCTTTCCCAGCCATGTCCCAGTCCGTGTCACCGCGCTGTTAGCCGCAGAGCGGGGGAGGGTGGTTGTTGCTTAGGAATTACTTGAGTATGTGGGCACAGCTTCAGAACTGACATGCAGGAAAAGTCAAAAACGTTCGGAGGAGTCCAGCATGGTGTATGCAGAGTACTTCAGGTCATTCTGGTGAGGGCACAGAAGACAAGATGAGGGGGCAAAGGTCACAGACAGAAGTGAGGGCACCTATCATCGTGGCATTTTCTTGCCGCAAGATGACCTGTACAGCTTCAGGGCCTTTGCTAGCAAGAAGGTAATCACCATATTTAACCCTTGACCCTGTAGTCATGAGTCAAAGTGAGCCTTTTTTTTTTTTTTTTTAGTAAAACTTACCTAGCAGATGGTATTATGTAACAATGGGCTAACTCAAAGGATTATTCATAAAATACAATGTTCCTAAGAGTCATGTCCCTGCTATGCATTACATATATATTATGCGTAATATAATTTCCATAT